GGCCCCCTGGATGCCCTCCGACGCTAACTCCAACTCTATATATTTGCTTTCGGAGAGAAAAAAATCAAAGAGAAGAAATCATCGCGTTTTACGATACGGAGCCGCCGCCAAGCCCTAAAACCTCTTGGTTGGGCCGATCTGGAGTCCGTTCGGGGCTCCAGAGAGGGCGATTCGTCGCCGTCGTTATCATCAACCATCCTCCATCACCAATTTCATGATGCTCACCGCCGTGCGTGAGTAATTTCATCGTAGGCTTGCTGGACGGTGATGGGTTGATGAGATTTATCATGTAATCGAGTTAGTTTTGTTAGGGTTTGATTCCTAGTATCCACTATGTTCTGAGATTGATGTTGCTATGACTTTGCTATGCTTAATGCTTGTCACTAGGGCCCGAGTGCCATGATTTCAGATCTGAACCTATTATGTTTTCATGAATATATGTGAGTTCTTGATCCTATCTTGCAAGTCTATAGTCACCTACTATGTGTTATGATCCGGCAACCCCGAAGTGACAATAATCGAGACCACTCCCGGTGATGACCATAGTTTAAGGAGTTCATGTATTCACTATGTGCTAATGCTTTGTTCCGGTTCTCTATTAAAAGAAGGCCTTAATATCCCTTAGTTTCCAATAGGACCCTGCTACCACGGGAGGGTAGAACAAAAGATGTCATGCAAGTTCTTTTCCATAAGCACATATGACTATATACGGAATACATGCCTACATTACATTGATGAATTGGAGCTAGTTCCATGTCACCCTATGTTATGACTGTTACATGATGAACCACACCCGACATAATTATCCATCACTGATCCGGTGCCTACGAGTTTTCCATATACTGGTTCTCACTTATTTACTTTCCCGCTGCTACTGTTACAATCACTACAAAATACCAAAAATATTATTTTTGCTGTCTTTACTTTTGTTGCCGCTACCACCACTATCATATTACTTTGCTACTAAACACTTTGCTGCAGATACTAAGTTTCCAGGTGTGATTGAATTGACAACTCAGCTGCTAATACTTGAGAATATTCTTTGGCTCCCGTTATGTCGAATCAATATATTTGGGTTGAATACTCTACCCTCGAAAGTTGTTGCGATCCCCTATACTTGTGGGTTATCAGTACGGCTCACATGTTTGCTCATCTTGGTAACCTTGCCTCCTTCACTCCTGTCTTCACCGACTGCCGCATCATTATCGGCAACGATTCCACACTTCCTATCACACATGTTGGGCACACTTCTTTTCCTTCTACTTCTACTCCATTATTTTTGTCTAACATACTTGTGTCACCTCATCTTATTAAGAATCTTATTTTCGTTCCTTGTTTCATTCATGAAAATCCTGTTACCATTGAATTTGACAAGCTTGGTTTTTGTGTCAAAAAATGCTCGAACTAGGATGGTACTTCACCGATGTGATAGCCCCGACGAGCTCTATCCGGTGCACTCATCTTCATCCACCACCAACGCGCCGGGTTCTCTCTCCGCTGGCGTCGATCTCTGGCACGCTCGCTTGGGTCATCCCAACCCCGTCACACTTCGTCATATTCTTAAGAGTTTAAGTTTCAGTTGCAATAAGATCGAGAATCACACTTGTCATGCCTATCGAGTCGGCAAACATGTTCGCCTGCCGTTTAATAATTTCATCACCATTGCTCCTTTTCCTTTTCAGTTGATTCATAGCGATGTGTGGACTTCTTCAGTTCCCAGTAACTCAGGCTATTTATATTATCTGGTCATTCTTGATGATTATTTTCATTATGTGTGGACTTTTTCTTTGCGCAGAAAGTCGAATGCACTCTCTACCTTGATGGCTTTTTACTCCTATGTCCACACGCAGTTTGGGCGTCCCATCCTTGCGCTTCAGATGGACAATGGAAAAGAGTTTGGCAACCTCATTTTCCACACCTTTTTGTCGCATCACAGCACAGTTTTCCGCCTCACATGCCCGTACACTTCACAGCAGAATGGTCGAGCCGAACGCGTCCTTCGCACTCTGAATGACTGCGTTCGCACGCTCATGTTTCATGCCAACATGTCGCCTCATTTCTGGCCGGACGCACTCGCCACTGCATCACTTCTTCTTAACATTAGACCCTGTCGTCCACGGTGGAACTACTCACCTCACCATCTTCTCTTTGGTACGCCCCCATCTTATGACGACTTGCGTATTTTTGGATGCCTTTGCTATCCCAGCACTGCCGACACTGCTTCTCACAAGCTTGCACCTCGATCTGTTGCTTGCATCTTCATCGGCTACCCCTCCATCTCCAAGGGATATCGGTGCTACGATCCCGTCTCCCACCGTGTGTTCACTTCCCGGCACGTTTACTTTGATGAGCATGTGTTTCCGTTTCACCAGGTACCCCCGGCTGTTCCCTCGACGCCTCTCCCAGGGCGCTCGTGTGCCTCTCTTGGCCCGCCCTGGCTTCGAGGCACGCCCCCCGCATGCGATGCCTCCTACAGCCACGGCGCTGGCGCCCCCGGTGCCCCTGATGTTGGCGTCTGTGGCCCCTACAGCCCCCTCGACGCCACCGGCGCCCCCCCGGCGCTTGTGGCCGGTCCGGTCACCCACGCCCGTACGGGCGTTTTTGCCCGAGCTCGCGCTACGCCTCGAATGACTACGTCCATGCGGCATCCACCTCTGAGCCGTCGCCGTTGTCGTCCTCCGTTCGAGCCGCTCTTCATGACCCGCTCCGGATGGCTGCAATGCAAGAGGAATTTGACGCCCTGTTGCGCAACCGGACGTGGCAGCTTATTCCCCGTCCCCGGCACGCCAACGTGATTACCGGAAAGTGGGTCTTTAAACACAAGCTCCGTCCTGATGGTAACCTTGATCGCTACAAAGCGTGTTGGGTTGTTCGTGGCTTCCGACAGCGTGCTGGCATCGACTTCACTGACACCTTCGCTCCGGTTGTCAAGCCTGGCACGATACACACGGTTCTCCACCTTGCGGTCTCCCGTGCTTGGCCGGTGCACCAGATGGATGTCTCCAACGCCTTCCTCCATGGTCACCTCGAGGAGCAGGTCTTCTGCCAGCAGCCCACCGGGTTTGTTGACCCGACGCTTCCCGACCACGTGTGCCTGCTTTCGCGGTCCTTGTACGGACTCAAGCAGGCTCCGCGCGCTTGGTACCAGCGTATCGCGGCGTTTCTCCACCAGCTTGGGTTCCGCTCTACCCACTCCGACGCCTCGCTCTTCGTCTATCATCAGGGCTCGGATACGGCCTACTTGCTACTCTATGTCGATGACATTATCTTGACGGCATGTACGGTTGGTCTCCTCAGTCAGCTCACGGCTCGTCTTTGCGCTGAGTTCGCCATCAAGGACTTGGGTCCTTTGCACTACTTCCTCGGTGTCGAGGTGGTGCGCCGTCCGGATGGCTTCTTCCTTCATCAGCGGAAGTACGCTCACGAGCTCTTCGATCGCGTCGGCATGCTTAACTGCAAGCCCGCCGCTACGTCTGTTGATACGAAGGCCAAGCTTTCTACCACGGATGGTTCTCCTGCTTCGGATACTGCTTTCTATCGGTCTATCGTTGGTGCTCTCCAGTACCTCACTCTGAATCGACCGGAGATCCAGTATGCCGTGTAGTAGGTGTGTCTTCATATGCATGCTACTCGAGACGTTCACTGGGCTACCGTCAAGCAGATTCTCCGCTATATCTGTGGCACTATGGATCTTGGCGTCACGCTTCACGCCTCCGCCGACACCGCCCTCACCACCTACTCCAATGCAGACTAGGCGGGCTGCCCTGACACTCGTCGCTCCACTTCGGACTATTGTGTCTATCTTGGACCCTCACTCATCTCGTGGTCGTTCAAGCGGCAGCCTACGATCTCTCGCTCCAGTGCTGAGGCTGAGTATCGTGCGGTGGCCAACGCCGTCGCCGAGTGTTCGTGGCTTCGCCAGCTGCTTTAGGAGCTCTCTTGTCCTGTTGACCGTGCATCTCCGTCTAACCCGGTGCATAATCGATGGACCAAGCATATTGAGTTGGATATTCATTTTGTTTGGGAATAGGTGGCCCTTGGACATATTCATGTTTTGCACGTCCCTACTTTTCAACAATTTGCCGATATCATAACCAAGGGCTTGCCTACGGCGTCATTTGAGGAGTTCCGGTCCAGTCTTTGCGTCAGCCGCGGTGCCGCTTCGACTGTGGGGGGTGTTGAGTATATGTGTTATGTGCATATTGTGTATTGGGCCCGTCTCCTATTTTCTTGTATAGTTAAGGCCCGTGGTCCACCTTTGTACATCATATATACGTACTTATGCACGAAGAGCAATACATCGTACAATTACAACATCATACATTAACTCCCAATGATTCAACAGGATAGCGCAGAATCAGATCATCTCTTGTGCCAACGGGGCCGAATCGATCGACAGGGTTTCTTCGTGCACAAAACAGCTAAGTCAACGATTTTCTGAGATCACCAAGCGATCCTTCCGTCAATCCGCAAGAAAGGAGCAATGTGGAGGAGACTAAGAGAGTGTACGAGTTTACTACTGTACGAGCTAGCAGTATAAAATTAGTAAAGCTATTGCTACTCAATACACAACCGGGCCCTGCATTACACTACAGCACCGCGCCTACACGCAACGAATTACGACTAGCCTAGCGACTCGGGGCATGGCTACTGTCTTCCCCCGTGACGCTGGCGTCTCCACGCCGGAAGCCGACGAGGCTAAGAAAATCTACGAGGAAGCACGGAGAGTGGTGTCCACCTACGAGACCGTTCCCAGCGGAGCCCTGCGGGATTACTGCCGCCACCCGGGCGGCTGGCACATGATCATGCCGGTCATGGTGAGCTCCATGGTCGCAGAGCAGCACTTTGAGGCGCGTGGCACCGACGTGCTCCTTGTTACGATGCCCAAGTGTGGGACTACCTGGATCAAAGCCCTCCTCTATGCTGCGGCCCGCCGCACCGACGACACATCGTCCATACTCCGGCAGCTCGCCTCCCACAACTCCCACCAGCTCGTTCCTTTCCTCGAGGCCCAGGTCTACACCAAGGACCAGATCCCCGACCTCAGCTCGCTTCCAGCGCCACGGCTCTTCGCCTCGCACATCCCGGCTGAGTCTCTGCCACCCTCCGTTGTGGCGTCGGGCTGCAAGGTACGTACGTTTTCTATGAGTGATAAGTCCTTCAATTATTTCAGGGATGTCATGTAAGTCCTCGAGCCATAAAAAATGACATTCAAGTTCTGGAAATGTTAATAAGCTGTCATCTGGTTCTAAACCAGTGCAACCCTAGAATAGCCCTTGGACCTATATTTTGCATAGCATAACAAGCTTACTACATTTCAAAGATTTGGATGCCGACTTTCATAGTTCGAGGACTGGCATGACACCCCTAAACAATTCAGGGATCTAAGCACGCAATAACATTAAGGGCTTGCAACAATTCATCGTGCATGCAGGTGGTGTATTTGTGTCGGGACCCCAAGGACTGCTTTGTGTCTCTCTGGCACTTTATGAGCAAGTTCACCCCACGGGACATCGACGAGGCACACGACCAGTTCTGCAACGGCGCCTCATTGTATGAGCCGTTCTGGGAGCACGTGCTGAGCTACTGGCGGTGGCACATTGAGAGACCGGGACAGGTGCTCTTCCTGACTTACGAGGAGCTCAATGCCAACCCGCTCGGCCAGCTGAGGCGCCTTGCTGAGTTCATCGGGCGCCCCTTCAGGGGAGCAGGAGGCCGGAGTGGACAGGAAGATCACGGAGGCATGTGCCATGAAGAGCATGGTCAACCAGGAGGTGAACCAGTCGGGTACGACCGAAATAATTGAGATGCCGATGCCCAACGGGGTCTCCTTCCGGCGCGGCGTGGTCGGAGACTGGACCAACTACCTCACGCCAGAGATGGCGGGAAGGATTGATGAGATTACCAAGAGCAAGTTCGAAGGAACCGGCCTCATGCTGCCCAAAACAATCTCGGAAATCCCAAAGATCTAACATTCCTATGTCGCAAATTGATGTTTGAAATCGTTTACCTTAATTTTCTTGCTCTTGTTGTAAACTGCACCCGATGCCATTGGTTTGGCTGAATAAAAAAACTTGCAATGTTCTTGTTGATTAAACGGAATACCAGCTGGCAAGAAGTTGTTGTTACGGAAGAGGCCTACTTAGTCTTAGGTATTTTTCATATTGGTTTAATTGTGATCAAATATATTTGTACTCTGCTTAATTATTAATAAAAATGATTGTATGCATCGCAATAATGCAGAGACCAAGGATTTCAACTGCATTTTCGAAAAAAGAGAATGCTAACCAGCTCTGAATGAACTTCTACATGATTAAGCATGATGGCGCCACAAGCCAAAGGACGCCAAGACCAAGTTGTATAGTATTTTCCAGTTCAACAAAATAAGCGAATCAAAAGTTTCAAATGATATGAGCACTGTGTTCATCGTGAACTAAAAAGTAAACAATAGCACGACATCATATCTCTGCGTGTGGCGCTCACCCCGCTCTCTGCTTGTGGGCCGGCCCAGTGAGGGGCATGTTAAGGAGCGGTTTTCTATGGATTTTCTTTCATTTTCTTTTTTTCTTTTTCTTGGATTCTCTTTGTTTTATTTTCATTCTCCTTTTTAAATAGATATGTATATTTCAAATACATTTATACCATTTTTGAAAAATATATGTATTGATATCTTGTTTTTTCATGCACATTGTACATTTTTCTTATGCACAAGGAACATTTTTTATATATATCCTTAACATTTTCAAATATATGATTACTTTTTTAAAAATATACTTTTTTATCTCTATATGTTGTCATACAGATTATACATTGTTTTTTCAACATTTGAAACATTTCTTTGTACACATTTAACTTTTTCCAAATACATGATTAACATTTTTCTTAATTTTAATGTCTACCTGTTTTTCATATGCATTGTACATTTTTCATATACACCTACAAGATTCTTCCATACACATTTAATATATGTTAATTACATGCCTAGCAATTCTCCAAATACACATTGAAACTTTTTCTAATGATGAACATGTTTTAAATTCTATAAACAAATTTTCACAAACAAAATTTTGAAACATGTGGACCTTTTTTTAAATGCTTTCAACATTTTTTTTCAACTATGCTAACGAATTGTTTGTACTGCACTAATATATTTTTTTCGAAATTCACAATATTTCTCCATTTGTCCTTTTTATCTTTAGACTTTCAGATATTGGATTTCTTTTGTTTTATATTTTTTCACATATTTCAACAGGTTTTGTAATGTACGATGATTTTGTTTTCAAAATATATGGTGAACATTTTTAACATACACTAAACATTTATAGTATTTTGTGAATACTTTTTAAATACACGGTGAAGATTTGTTTTATAATATACGATGAGAAGTTTGTTATATCCATTGAACATAATTCGCATATACGCTAAACTTTTTTTTGTTATAAAATGAATATTGATTTAGTACACGCTAAACATATTTTAGTATATAGTCAACATTTGTTGACATACACTGAACCTTTTTATAAACACATACCAAACAATTTTCTGAAATAAAATTTTAGATTTTCTTAATAGTTTGTAAATATCAAGCTCCTAAAAACAACAACTGTTTTTTAGTTGAAAGCCCGACAAAAAAAACTAAATAAAAAAATGAAACAGATCGCGAGCAAAGTGGGCTGGGCCATGTGCCTTTGATTCAACACAGGCACCACATTGAACGCGTTTTTTCTTTCATTTCCGAGACGCACGGCCATGCCTCTCGCGAAAGCAAAACCGTGTTTCTCATGAAAAAAAACGCGTGTTTTTTTCGTTTTCGAGAGGCACGGCCGGGCCTCTCGCGGAAGCAAAATCGTGCCTCTCGCGAAAGCCAAACCATGTCTCTCGTAAAAGGAAAAAAACAAGAGAATTTTTTCCCTGTTTCCGAGAGGCACGGCCGTGCCTCTCGCAGAAGTAAAAAAGACACTTTTTTCTGTTTCGAAAGGCATGACTGTGCCTCTTGCTTAAGCAAAAGAAAAAGTGTTTTTTGCGCATTCTTTTTTTGAAATTTCGTTATTGTCAAAAAGTTATGAATGACCGTTACAAAATCAAAAGGCCGAAATAAACCAAAAGAAACCATCTAAAAAAACGAAAATGTGTGCGGAAAAAATAATTAAAAAAATCTAGAGGAAACGCCTAGAGCGCGATAGGTGGCGGTGGCTGAGAGCACCCCAAGAGGCGCGCCCTCAGCCCACCCAAAATGACCCTTGGGGAGGCTCTCGAACGAGCGCTCATCAGTTAGTTGCTCTCTGTTCCACTTGGCATTCATGCGCCGCGCTCCCTGGGCTGGCCCAACAATCCCAGCAACCTGCTCGCAAACACAGAGATTTTTTTTAAGTTTTAATTCGTCTCGCTACTTTGAGAGAAGCGGGATTCCAGCTCCAATCGTCAGAGTAGAAGGCAGTAGTTAATAACCACAATGTTACCTTAGTTAACAAACATGGATTTAAAAAAAGTTTCAGAGAATTGGAAAAAAGTTCATCGAAATGAAAAAGTTCGTCGATTTTGAAAAAAAACTCACCAATTTTGAGAAAAGTCCATCGAATTTGAAAATTATCTCATCAAATATGAAAAAGTAATTCATTCATTTGACAAAAAATTCAAATCTTTGAAAAAAGTTCATCAATTTTGGAAAACATTTATCGAATTTGAAAAAAAAATCATTGAATTTGAAAAAGTTCACCGAATTTGGAAAAACAATCATGGTAATTTAAAATAGGTTCATCGATTTTGAAAAAAAATTCTCTTTTTTTGAAATAAATTGATCAATTTTTAAAAAAGTTCATCATTTTGAAAAATGGTTCATCTTCTTTGAGAAAAGATCAATTTTGGAAGACGTTCATCGATTTTGACAAAAAAATTATTCAAATGAGCAAAAGAAAAAGATTTAAAATCCGAAGAAAGCTTCCGAATAAAAGAGGAAAACATAAAAAAGAGAAAAAAGAAAAAGACATAAGAAAAAGAGAGTGAAAAAGATGTATTTGAGCACATGAGGTGAGGTCGGTGGGGTGGTTTGTGTAGGGTGCAAACGACCAGGAGGTTGCACCACAGAACGCTGCTGCATTTTTTGGTTTATTGTTTTTCTTAATCGATTTTCTAAGGTTATCTCTTTCTCATCAATTTTTGGTTTACAAACTGAAAAATAAAGGAAGATGGGCCGAACCCAACTACATGCGCCTTCAGATAAGAAGGGGCAGCGCCAAATGGAAGCGCCCGTTCGCAAGAGGGCGCCTGCAGCGCAAGCCCCTCCGCTGGCGATCTGGGCCAGGCCCATGTATGTTTTATTTCTATAAAAATGTTCAATTGTGCGCTCTCCAGGAGTAGAACCCAAGATCACTTCCTTCAATCCGATCAACCGTAACCACTACACGGTGCGACCACCGGTGATTTTCTACGTATTTTCTTCTATTTATTCTTTTTAGACGCGGGAATCCTCCAGTTTTGGGAAGCTTCCCAAACCAGTTTTGTCCCGGTTCATGTTAAATTACGGGGCGGTTTTTATTTGTCTTTTTCAAAATCAATGAACTTTTTCAAATTGGACGATTGTTTTTCAAATTTGAAGAACTTTTCTCAAATTTAATGAACTTTTTTTAAATCCGATGACCTGTTTTCAAGTTTGATTAACTTTTTTTCAAAATCGATGAACTTTTCTCAAATGTGATGAACTTTTTTTAAATCCAATGATTTTTTTAAAAAATTAGTGAACTTTTTCAAATTCAATGAACTTTTTTCAAATTTCATCGTATTTGAAAAAGTTCATCAAAAAATGGCAAAAGTTCACCGAGTTGAAAAGAGTTCACGAATTGAAAAAATGTCATCATACAAGGAAGAAAAGAAAGAAGAAAAAATATATATAAATGCAAAAAATGGAAAAAGGAAAAAAGGATAGAAGAAACAAGAAAACACTGAAAAAGATTTAGCTTAGCATATCTGCCTAGGTGGCGGAGTGGTTAGCGCAGCGTATCAGCTAACTCTTGGTCGCAGGTTCGATCTGACTAGGAGCTCCCCCAAATGGATCCGCCGCTATATCTTGCTAGCAGCGAGACTTGCAGCTGTCTCGCCTGAAGGGCTGACGCGTATGGACTGGCCCGTTAGCGCTGTCTCCCGCTCTCCAATTTGCTTGCTCGCTCCTTCTATGTACGGTTTCGTCTAGTTTTTTCTTTTGTTCTTCTATTTCGATTTCTCTTGTTTTTTCTTTTGGTTTACTTTTTATCTTCATTTATTTTCTTCGGTTGTCTCTTTTTCATCAATTTTCTTTCATCCTTTCACAGTTTTTACCATTTTTATTATTTATTATTTTTGGGCTACTTTTCCGGGTTTTACTATTTTTCCTTTCTTTATTTGTTTCATTTGTTTTCTTGTCTTATAGTTTTTATTTATTTTCCTTTTCAATTTTTCTTATACGGCAGGAAGAATTTTTGTATACACATTTAACATTTTTCAAATATGTGATTAAACTTTCCGAAAACTCATATCCTTTGATTTCTACTTTTTTAATACACATCATACATTTGTTTTATACACTAGAAACATTTATTATATACATGTTTAACATTTTTAAACTAACTGATTAACATTTTTAAACGTATGTTTTTTGATAAGCATTGTTTATTTGTTGTATACATAAAAATGTTTTTATATACAAATTCATCATTAATATTTTTTACTATTTTATGTCTACTTTTCCACATTTTTGTATACATCAGGAAAAGAATATACATCTTTAACACTGTCCAAATACACGATTAACATTTTTGAAAACTTATTTTTATG